CAAATCTTGCAGAATTTTGCTTTTCACCCTGCCTTCTTTTGCCCCTAATTTCTTAGCGCTGCTCTGAAGTTCCTTGAGGAAGACATCACCATTTGCTGTTTAGAATTAAGCCAAATATTTCTCAGGTTCTAAATCTTTATAAAAACTTACTGTAGTTATGAAAATGACAGGGTTGTTTTGTTGTTGTTTGTTTAAAGAACTTTAGCTACCTCTTGTGGGCATTGTGGGCTGGCTTGGGATCCTATCAATAATAACAGTGAGTCTCGGAAATCCCTGTTCTCACCATAGGAAACACAGGTTGAGGACTCATATAATGACTGATACTGGTGGCTTCCCCTCCTCCTCCTCCCACTCTCCTTTGAAAGCAGCAGGTTTATACTCACTTTGCGTTGGTACCGTGAGAAAAAGTCATATTTTAGCTTCTTTGGGGAAACATGAAGCATAAAAAGGAAAGAAAAAATGACCTTACTCCTTGTTTTACAAACACATTTTGCCTCTGCCTCTAGACACTTAACTCCTTTCAAGGACAAGGTACTTCTTATTCATCTTTAAGTCTGGCTGGACATTTTTGTCAGAAATACTTATCACATCACATGTTTGCATGTCATCCTTGCCCAGGGGCCATGCTGATAATCTCTGTATTGTTCTAATTTTAGTGTAAGTAAGTAAGTGTTAGTCACTCAATCTTGTCTCTTTTCGACCCCACCAGATCGACTGTGGCCCACCAGATCCTTCTGTCCATGGGATTCTTCAGGCAAGAATACCGGGGTGGGTCACCATTCCCTTTTCTAGGGGACCTTCCTGACCCAGGGATCAAATCCGGGTCTCTTGCATTGCAGCTACCGGAGTATTGCTCCACCAAAGTGAGCACAGCCTTGAAATTTTTTGTGCATATGTATGAGAAAGGTTGCAGTTACAAAAGACTTGTGCTGGAGGGTAAAGTCAGTGGTCAGGCTCTGCAGTTCTGCTGACCCTGCTGCTGCTGCTGCTAAGTCGCTTCAGTTGTGTCCGACTCTCTGCAACCCCATAGACGGCAGCCCACCAGGCTCCCCCGTCCCTGGGATTCTCCAGGCAAGAGCACTGGAGTGGGTTGCCATTTCCATCTCTAATACGTGAAAGTGAAGTCCCTCAGTCGCGCCCGACTCTTAGCGACCCCATGGGCCGCAGCCTACTGGGCCCCTCCGTCCATGGGATTTTCCAGGCAAGAGTACTGGAGTGCGGTGCCATTGCCTTCTCCGTCTGCTGACTCTAGTAGGAGATAAAAGAGTTCAGCCCAGAACAGCTCATCTGATAAGGCAGTAGAGCAGAGGTAGCCTTTATGCAGCAGACTCCAGGCTTGTTGCCAGGTCCTGGGCTGGGCTTTGGAGACCCAAAGAGGAAGTCGGGCAGACAGCTGTCCAGGGAGAGGCAGTGGATTGAAGCTAAGGCTTTCAAGTATTTAAATCCCACTTTTCCATTTACTAGGTGTAGGTCCTTGGGGAAGTTGTCGTGACACCCTGAGCCCTTGCTTCCTCCTTCAGGGAGTACTTAGTATTGTTACCTGAAAACTGGGTTCACCTCTTGGTGGGTGCTAAGCTAATAGACACAACCAAGCCATCGATCGGGAGAAGGAAGAATTTACTGTTACTTGCAGCGAGTAAGCAGAACACTGGGGATCTTTTCCCAAGCAGCATTTTTCTGAACAGAGAAATTGAGGAAGTTTTAAGAAGTTTTAAGCAAAGGGTATCTCTGCATTTGCAAAGAGGCTTGAGCAAGGGAGAATTCAGTATGGAATATGGGGCAGAGGTTGACAGAGTCCACGCTTTAGTTGGTTGAAGTCAGGAGTGTCGACATCATTCCATCCTCCACCTGGCTGGGAGCCTTAGTTCATGCCTACCTCAAAGATATGTTGTGTATCCCTTGAGGAGGAACTAGAACCCTGCTCTATCACTGCACTGTTGTTTGAGTGTCTTTTTTCTGTTCCTGCATGCCTGGGTTCCCTCAAGATGGTTAATTACTGAGATCTGAGCGAGGGTGAGCATTGTGGCCACGCTTAGATCTCAAAATGGCCTCTCTTACGTCAGGAAAACCAGTCCTGGTTCTTTTCCTCCAGGGATCCTCTCACTTACTTGCTTACAGATAGAGTGTTAGATAAAGATGACTTTACAGGTAGAGGGACTCCCTCACTTTACCTGTATAGGTGTACCTACTGAATGATCCCTCAGTTCAGTATGTGGCGTGCTGTAAGCAAGCAGACGATGGTGGCTTAAAGAACGGTCCACTGCCTGTTGAAACTAGACACGTGTGAGCAGCAGCACCCTGTGCGTAAACAATTCTGTCTTCATTACACACGTGCTCTGGTGGGAGGGGTGTGTGCACGAGTGCTGGCGGGACAGGAGGACAGGGAGGCGCCTCTCCCTGCGGGGGGCATGTGGGGAAGGCCCCCGGGAGGTGGTGGCATGACTGCTACTTGGTAGTGAGTCAGGACTTGAAGTCCAATGTAAGGATTAGGTGGCAAAGAAAGAGGGAAGGACGTTCCTTCCTGGGCAGTAAGAAGTCTCTGCAGAGACACCCAGACACCTCTTTGGGGAGGTTTTGGTTTCTGGTTTGCCATGATCGGTAGGAAACCCATGAGCTCTGTACCCTCTGCTAAATTTGTAGAGAGGAAAGAAACCTGGAGAAGAGTTAAATGGGTTTTTGAGAAAAGGAGGTCTTTTTATTTATTTTTTGTTTTTGTTTTTCCATCTTCTTTTAAACTTTATTGAGATTGTCATTCAGATAGCATACAACTCACCTATTTAAATTCTACAATTCAGTGGTTTTTTAGTAGTCACAGAGATACACAGCCATCACTACAGTCGATTTTAGAACAGTTCTATCACCCACAAAAGAAGCCCCAACCCCTTAAATTGGTTCTTGTATTTCAGGGTTGTTTTGGCTATTCTGAATCCCTTTAATTTCTGTGTAAATTTTAAGATCAACATGTCAATTTCTGTAAAGAAGCCAGCTGGAATTGTAAGGATTGCCTGAACCTGTGGATCAGTCTGAATGTTGCCATTCTAATAGTGAACCATGAATTTAAGATGTCTTTCTGAAGGAAGTCTTTTTAAACCTAATAGGCCTTTGGCTTGGCCAGGCCTCTGCCTGTGAAGCTTGGTGATGCTGTCAAGTCCTAAAGAATTCAGTGGGCACCAGGAATGGTTCCCACCCGATCCCCTGTGGTGGGATCTGAGCACACTCCCTGGTAATCCACCCACTGGTTTCCCAGTTGCTGCCAAATTCCACTTTAAGAAGGAAATGATTCCATTCCTCTCTGACTCATGGGAATACTAAACAATCAAGAATAAATACCTCTATGTACTTCAAGGGGTGGATAAATAAATATCTTGTGACAGGTGATACAGCAGAGATAGGAAAGAAGCAGGTCAGGTTTTAATGCTGTGCTTTATGGACAGCAAGATGTCAAGTGTGTGTGGGTGGCAGGGAACTATACTATGTTGATGCCGAATCTCATTGCAAAGACTTACATAGCAAAATAACCCATTAAAAGTCTGTTGTCCCCTTCAAATACTTGTAAAAATTCTTTGTTCAGTTCCAACAGCTTTGATTCCAGATACCAGCATCTCCTGAGTTTTTATTGTGGTCACAAAGGCACCGTGCTGTGATCCCTTGTCATCTCATTTAATTGTCAGAACAACTTTCTGAAGCAGGTAGCTTCCCCATGTCTTGCAGATGAAGTGATTGAGGCTTTCTAGAACTTGTAGTCAGCAAATCTGGAGTGAACCGAGGTATTATAATTGGATGCCGCTGTTCTCATCACCAAGCTAAAAGAGTCCCACCAGCCCATTTTTGAAAAATTGACCTTTTTCATGGAAATAATGTTTTGAGTTATCCCCCCCTCCCGCCTTAGTTTTATTCCCTTACTTTGAAACAACTCTGACTTGTCTGGGCTTAGCAGTTATTTTTTATAGCAGAGTAATTAATATGTGAAGATTTTTAGGTGAAATTTAAAGTCTTAGATCTACTGCATGAAATCTAGTAGACAATGTTAAAACTCTAATTGGCTATGATTATTATATATGGATTTTCTCCCAAAGGTTCTCTGGGGAACCTTTCATGTTAACAAGGCATGATCTCTAATGTGTATTAGTTCTTAGGACAGATTCACTCACGCGTCAGCAGGGAATAGGAAGGAAGGTAGAGAAGGCAGGGATGCTCTGACTATACTGTATATGAGTGATAGAGCCATTGAAAATGTAGAAGGAGAATAAACAGATCTTTTATGAATAAATCAGAAACCAGTTTGGGCTTCTTTTTTTACGTTTTTATTTGTTTTCGTTTGTGCTGGGTCTTTGTTGCTTCCGAGCTTTTCTCTCGTGGAGAGTGGGGGCTGCTTGCTAGTTCTCTCTTGTTGTGAAGCGTGGGCTTGGTGGTGGTGTCACACCCGGGCTTCTTCGCTCTGGAGCATGTGGGGTCTTCTCAGATGAGGGACCAAACCCAGGTCTCCTGCACTGGCAGGCGCTGAGCCACCAGGGAAGCTCTGGGCTTCTTAACGTGGTTTTAAAATGCCATCTTTAGGGTGAATGGATTAAGAAGGACCAATATTCTTTGCCCTGGATTAGCGGTTTTCCAAGAGTGGTGCTCAGACAGCAGCATCAGCATTACTTAGAACTTGTTAGAAAATTCTCACTGTAACTCTAGGGCCAGATAAAGTAAGATTAGTCTTCCTAAGATGGGGTTGATAATTATTCCACCTAATCACATCAGGATGAGAATCAGATAATTAGGATTTTTTTTCTTCTTTGTAATTGATTCTGGATTTGTTAAACTAACAATGGCACCATTTCTGTGCTGATTTGACTTTTAACACTATATAATAACAAGGTCATCAAATAGGTTAATAGTATTTAATGAGCCAATAAACATTAGATAATTTTATATATGATATTTTTCTTCCATTTCTTTCCCCCTTTAAGTTACAGGCTAAGTAATAACTGAGTCTCTTGGAACTGTTTCTTTAGGTTAAAAACGTTTCTGCAGGTGCACAAGACATGCCTCCTCCCCTCTCAGACTATGTGGAGAGAGTGGACAGCCCGGTGGCCTACTCCTCCAATGGGAAAGTGAACGAGAAGCGACCGTATCCAGAGTCTTCCTATAAATCAACCCCGTAAGTAATGTCTTCCTTCTTTTGCTAGAATGAGTCTGAAAAAATGAGGTTTGCATGTATTTATAGAATCAGTTGCTATTTTGTGCCGTTCAGCTTGAAGAAAACAAAAACATCCAACAGTTTTCACAAAGGCTGAAGACTGATCTCTGCCTTACAGGTGCAGAAACTTCTTTCTTATTTCTGATTTTGAAGTTTAGATAAGGGTGGAAGGGTGTTGTGGATTGATAGCAGAGCTAAATATGGTTCTCAGTCTCTCTCCTTGTTTGTAATTATTATATCTCTTTAACAGAAGGAAGAGATTACTCATTGGTCAACACTATCCACATACATTTTTATTAAATTAGAACGCTTCATTTGCATTCCAGAGTTCTGAGACTCCTTTGCTCTGCTGTGGTGATGGTGGTTTAGTTGCTAATTTGTGTCCAACTCTTGCAACCCTATGGGCTGTAGCCCACCAGGCTCCTCTGTCCATGGGATTCCCCAGGCAAGAATATTGGAGTGGGGTGCCATTTCCTTCTCCAGGAGATTCTCCTGACTCAGGGATGAATCCGGGTTTCCTGCATTGCAGGCAGATTCTTTACTGACTGTGACACCAGGGAAGCCCCTTTGCTGTGCTAGATCCTTCATCTTGCTGGAGGACGTGAAGCTGATATAGCCCCTAGATTTTGTTTTACATGTTAAAACAAAGAAAGCCTCACAGTGTGTTTCTGGCCTAGAGGGGCTGCCTTTCAGGTTATTGAAATACTATCCCTGTTGTGGTTCTAGGTTACCCTGAAGCCGAATTCTAATTTACTTTAATGATAAGAGAGAGAGATTGAGGATGTTGTTAAGGACTTGAATGTAGTTTCTGCCTAAGGATGATGAACTAGTGTTCCTGTATATAATTCTAGAACCCCAAGTTCCTTCATAGAACAAAAAAATTAAACCTTCCCTTTAGCTAATTGGGTCCTTCTCCATTAAAGGTTTATCTGCTAGTGTTCAGAGTTTAATCTCCAGCCCCCAGTTAGTGGGCCAAGTTTGTTGAGATGCATTCTGAGTGTACAATAGTTTGGGTGCCTGGAACCCAATGGGATGACACTAGCAGCTGAGTTAAGTCTGGAATCAGTTTGAGGAGGCTTTACTATTACCCTGGAATGGAATTTGGAAGTAGACTGGCTTTCTGCCTCACCCTCCAGATACTTTGGCACTTCAGATTCTACCTTGATTTTGATTTCGGTTGTGAATGATTTGGAGGAAGAACATTTTCTACGTTCTCCTTCTTCTCTTTGGATTTTGACAAAAACCAAATCACGTGAAGCTGTGAGAAGAGGTGCGCAGTAGAGATGCAGTCCTTGTAAAAGTTTCAAGCTATGACTTGCACGACTTCCATGCATACAAAATAAATATCTCTAATGCATCTTGTGACCAGCTGTGCCTCCCAATTAATTGTAAAGCTTGCAGAGCTCCACAACATTCCCACATGCTGTCCTTTTTCATGAGAATGAAGATATTGTCACAGATTCATTTGGAGCAATTTAAATATCTTAGGGACTTCCCTGATGGGCCAGTGGTTGAGAATCTGCCTGCTAATGCAGGGGACACAAGTTCGATCCCACACACCTCGGAGCAACTAAGCCTGGGTCCCACGAACCTAGGAACTGCAACAAGAGAAGCCACTTCAAAGAGAAGCCCATGCACCCCAGTGAAAAGTAGCTCCCACTCTCTGCAACTAAAGAAAACCCTCACGCAGCCACGAATACCCAGCACAACCAAAAATAAAATAAATAAAATAAATTTTAAATAAATATCTTACCTATTCTTAAATAAATCAGCACATTCATGATATAAAATTTAAGAGGGACAAAAGGGGATCCCTTTGTCCCCAGCTATCTAGTGCTTCTCCCCAGGAACGGCCAGTGTTACCAGTTTCTTTTGTGTCCTTCCAGAGGTTGTTTAAATGAATATGCTGGCCAAGTACCTATATTGGTCATTTTTTCCTTTTAAAAAGTAATAACATATTAAATGCACTGTTAGCAGTGTATCTTAGTGACTGTGCATTTCAGTATACAGAGTTTGCTTGTCTGTTTTATGTCAGTATAATACTGTATCAGATGGGTAGACTAAGACCTGTTTTATTAATCCCACATTGATACACACTTTCCCCAATGTTTTGTTATTACAAACCTCAGCAGAGAATAAACTTGCACATTGTACCTTTATCAGTTTGCAAGTCTGTGGATATATCTGGAAGAAAAATATTAAAAGCAGAATTGCTATATTAAAGGAAATTGCATATATGATTTTGATGGGTGTAGTCAAACTGTACTCCATAAGGGTTGTACCAGTACCAGTTGGTACTTCCAGCATACACCCCAGAACTTTTTTGAAGAGCTGGAAAATGCGAATATGATGCTTAGTGTTAGAACCCTGCAGAAGGGCAGGATGGGGGTGGGGCTAAGGGATATGAATGCAACAGCGTGTAGTAGTGATGAACTTGCAGCCTCTGGGGGGTAACAGACATTGTTGACTGTTGTCTGTGGCAGAGCACTGAGTGCTGTGGAGGATTCAGTGTACATTTTCCTGACGACATAGGGGATGCACATTTAAGTCGTTACCTGCCTTTCCTCAGGTGTTTCTTGAAGGTGTTTAGTAACCCACAGGCGCCTTTCCTCACTGTTACAGTGGATAGAGAAGGAATTAGAATTGGGAACATTGTCTGAGGTCCAGGTTAAGAATGAGGTACCTCAATACTAAGATATTTTCCCCCTAAAACATAATATACATTCAGTAAAGAACACTAATCTTGATATAAGCTTAATGAGATTTCACGTGTGTGAACACTGAAGTAACTACCACTACAAGAGAGGTGTTTCAAGTGTTCTGAAATATTCTTTTCTTCCTGGATACTCCCCTTCCCCCATCACCACTATTTTGATACCTGTCACCATATCGAAATTCTTATAAAATGGAATCATACAGTAATTACTTTAGTGTCTGGTTCTTCTTGCTCACCATAATGTCCTGACCTTAGAATTCTAAGACAGTTAGAATTAATCCTGGATTAGGAAACAGCAGAATGTAGCTGAAGATAGTTGCTTCTCTACCCTTTGTAAGTGGATTTGGGAGATAGTAGGTACACTCCCTGGAGAAGGCAGTGGCACCCCACGCCAGTGCTCTTGCCTGGAAAATCCCATGGATGGAGGAGCCTGGTGGGCTCCTACCAGTCCATGGGGTCGCGAAGAGTTGGACACGACTGAGCGACTTCACTTTCACTTCTCACTTTCACTCATTGGAGAAGGCAATGGCACCCACGCCAGTGCTCTTGCCTGGAAAATCCCATGGATGGAGGAGCCTGGTGGGCTCCTACCAGTCCATGGGGTCGCGAAGAGGTTGGACACGACTGAGCGACTTCACTTTCACTTCTCACTTTCACTCATTGGAGAAGGAAATGGCAACCCACTCCAGTGTTCTTGCCTGGAGAATCCCAGGGACGGGGGAGCCTTGTGGGCTGCCGTCTATGGGATCACACAGAGTCGGCCAAGACTGAAGTGACTTAGCAGCAGCAGCAGCAGCAGCGTGTATACTCCCTACTATCCTGTTCACACCCAGGACAGGTATGTGTGTGCTAAGTGGATTCAGTCCTTCCAACTCTCTGCAACCCCATGGACTGTAGTCCACCAGATTCCTCTGTCTATGGGATTCTTCAGGCAGTAATACTGGAGTTGCTATGCCTTCCCCCAGGGGATCTTCCTGACCCAGGGATCGAACCCAAGGTGAGTTAACCTTTGTAAGTCAAAGAAGTAGAGTGTTGATGCAATGCAGAGATTTCAAGGCAGGCTGACATCTTAGAGTGCCAAATGAGATCATTGTCTGGTAGCACTATTTAGGCTGGTAGGATACTCAGTCCCGGGTGTTCATTGGAAGGACTGCTGTTGAAGCTGAAACTCCAATACTTTGGCTACCTGATGCGAAGGGCTGACTCATTTGAAAAGACCCTGATGCTGAGAAATAGTGAGGCAGGAGGAGAAGGGGACAACAGAGGATGAGATGGTTGGATGGCATCACCGACTCAATGGACATGAGTTTGGATAGACTCCAGGAGTTGCTGATGGACACGAGGCCTGGTGTGCTGCAGTTCACGGGGTCGCAAAAAATTGGACACAACTGAGCGACTGAACTGAACTGAAGTGAGGATAATCTCTTAGGACATTTATGCAAGTTGTAGGAATTCGATGGTTCACATGAGGCCCGGAGATGGTGCCAACTTCAGGCATAGCATGATCCAGGGACTCAAAAAAATGTCAGGGCTCGTGTTGCTTTACTAGTTTTATTCTCAGTACAACTTCTTTTGTAGCAGGCTGGCCATGCACATTCCCCAGGCTGCCCTGATCTTATACCACTGGATTCAGAGTGAAATTTCCTTTGCCAAAACTTAAATGTCAAATCCTAGTGAAAACATACTGATTGGCCCTTTTTGGGTCCAGGAAGATGGAGTTGTCTGGTTGACAAGGCTTGGACAGTACCCTCAATGATATATGGTGGTTTTAAAATACCATATATATTATGGACATCATTCCTACAGTCATGGCAATGATGCGATCAAACATTTTGTTTCTCTCTCTCCCGGATACTGGGTGTCCTCAGAAAAGAGGATTCTTGTAAATGTCTTTTCAATTTAGTAATTAGCTTAAACCTCTACCATATGTTGGGCCAGGTACTCCTGGGAATATGGAGTTCGTGTTCCCATGGAGGTTGCAGTCTAACGTGAGTGGAAAAAAGTGCACGATAACTACACTCTCGGGATAAGATAGAGCAGAAAAGGCATGTGTGTGTGAGAGAGAGAATAAAGCAAGTGTAAAAAAGAAGGAAGTAAAAAACTACAGAAGAGCAGATTTCCACACCTAGGGGGCTGAGTCAGATACTAAGGAAAGTATACGGGCGTTTGTTTCTGGGTTGTGCAGATTTTTGACCTAGTTGGACTTGTGTCTAAAAGCAGGTTTGTAGATGACTAAGAGTGCACCCATTCCCTAACTCTTAAATTTATATATACTGCTTTTCTTGCCAGGCATTTCGTTTTTAGCTTTTATGCTCTATCAAGTTACTGTTTAGTGTTTGAAAGGGTGTAGTAAGAGGGGAGATGGAAGACTTCTAATATGAAGATTTACAGTATCAATATCTAATATAAAATTATGGGAGGAGGCCTGCCTTACAATTTTTTCTTTTTTTCCAATTTCTTTTGCCCTTTAGCATCCTGCCACCCCCACTATCTCCCAACCCCTCAGACAAACCCACTGCATTCTAAAGGTTTTGTTTGCCACCTCAAAGCTAGAAGCATAGTAGCTGGCAGAGTGTCTAGGAACTCATTAATCATTCACTCACAGAGAAAGTCACATTTTCCTTCCTTTAGAGGTAGTGTTAACAGAGCACTTAAAGCCATGTTAACCTGGGTAGAATTTAGAAAGAAAAACTCAATACCACGACCACCTCCAACTACCCTCCGACCCCCACCAAAGCTTTAGGCATCTACAGGAAATTAGTAAGTGAGATTAGAAGTGTTAAGACTTTGGCAACAGAACCAAGCAGTTTTGGATCACCTAGAAAGCAGTCCACCTTGTGGATAAAACTCAAGATGACAGTTACTGTAAGTTGACAGCAATAACAAAGAAAATTCTTCTTTTAACTAGTTGACTTGAATAGCAAGGCTGATGTCGGAAAGTCTCAGCTACCTCGTTTCTCCTCTTGGCCTTCTCCAGCTCTGCTGCAGGGGAAAGTGCAGCTTTGCATTTCTGTTACTCAGAAGTGGTCGAGAGTTGCCACAGCTCTTGGTCTTTTATTCCATGTTAGGCTTTGTTTTTTGTGCTTGTGGCAGAAATAGTTTATGCGATTAAAAATCTGATGCAATATTAAATAATTGGCGTTAGAAAAATAAGTGTAATGCTAACTCTTCCATTTCAATCATTCTTCAAGACTTCAGGCTTAACAGTGCAATTTAAAGAGGTCTTGGCTGAGCCCCATTGCTGTCCACTGGAAACTATCACAACTTGTTAATCAGCTATTTTCCAGTATAAAATAAAAAGTTTAAAAAAAAAAGGTGTTAATAAGTCCTTTCATCTATTACAATATAAAATGCTTTTTAGGTTCTTTGTTTGCTTTTAGTTTTTTAGTTTAAATTTTCAGTTTGTTTCATTTTTCATCATTGTATCTTAAAAAGAGAAGTGATATAAAGGAGTCTAAAATTAGTATTACGGAGAGCTTATCTCTGGGAGTTGGCCCTCAAGGGAGATAGAGATGTGCATTCCTCTCCGCACTCAGCATTCCATGGAACTGGAAGAACCTGTAGAAAAGAGACGCGATTGTTACCTTCCTAACAGCCTTTTGTGGAGTAGGTCCTGGGCACAGGTCAGGTCAACACCTCTTCCAGATCTGTGGGAATTTCCTAAAGTGAAGTCTTACATCTGTTTTACACAGAAGGTTGACTAACAGCTCCCCTTACATGGGAGCCTTAAGGGGGCTCGTGGGGATTAGAGGAGCGCGCTAAGCTGGGGCGGGGCTGGGCGCTGGGCAGGCGCTGCTCTGACTGACAGAGGGCGGTAGCGCTCACCGACGGGTGATCCCTGTTTTGGCAGGGTGCCGGAAGTGGCTCAGGAGCTGCCATTGACTTCACCTGTGGAGGACTTCCGGCAGCCTTACCACAGCAGCAGCGGTAACTTGGAGACGCTTTCAAAAAGGGCTCCCGCGAAGGGCAGAGCAGGGAAGTCGAGGCGCGCAGAGCAAGACCACTATGAAACGGACTACACGACGGGAGGCGAGTCCTGCGATGAGCTGGAGGACGACTGGATCAGGTACCCGAGCATCTCTCGCTGGAACCCCCTGCACAATCCCATGGTTTTGGTGGTGGTGCCTCCTTGCCTAGGGTGGATGGTGTAACCTCATTTTTTGCCAACCAGGGCTGGAGACAGGTTTTTGTTACATTTTTTCCCCTTTAGTACCCTTTTATAGTAAAGATTGACCTGGAGGAAATATGTTTATCTTTAAAACACTTGGCATGCACCCCCTCAAAATGACAAACTTGGCCAGTGTTATATACTTTTACTAATAGCCACCCAAGAAGGGTTTGTCAAATAAGTAAAATACACATATAGGGGAACTTTGTTTTATTAATTAGAAAATTCCAGAGCAGTGTTATGGCTCCTTCTTTTGACGTTTAAAGTTAAGCTTTCATGATGAGACCAGAGATTCTTTTAGAAGTTTAATCCAAAGGACTTTGGCAAACAGATTTGTAAACAGTTGGGTTAACGATTTAGTGTTGTGGTTAAGTTACTTTTTGTGTCAGTGGTTTGGTAATAATCCAGCACTGATCACCAGCTGTACTTGGGTATGACCGATAGCCTTTTGGCCCAAGTATTCTGAAGACTGGGACACAAATCAGAAATGTTTGCTTTGTGAATTGTGGTGAATCAAAACATTGCTTCTCAAGCTGTTAGGAGGGATGGATAGGGCAAATAGAGCTAGAAATCCCTTACTTACTGGTGGCTCTCATATTTCATCCTACCTTGCCCCTCCAGAGTTTTGGTCTCGTTTAGCCACCTGTCTATAAAATGTTTGCCTATCTTGTATTGTGCAAGATTTAAATGCCAACTTTCAGAAATTCTGAATACTTGTTTCCCTTCTGAGCAAATCATTTACTTTCTCCCCTCTTTAAAATGAAGATACTTAGACTGTCTTAGATAGAACATTTAAAATTCCATATTGCTATGAAGCTCCTTAGTCTTGTGGAACAACTCAGAATATTTCCTCAGTGGATTATGGGTGGTTAACAGCGTCACCATCATATGTAAGGAATAGCCAGCATATTGAGAGATACAAGTGATAAGAATTTCAGGATTTTTTTCATAGTTTAACACATTGCCAGATTATTTTTACAGTGAGCATGCATTTTCATACATGTACCTTTTAATGTCTGCTTTTACAATCAAAACGATTTCCGTTAAGGAAAAACAAGACCCGCCCTCCCATTTTCCCACCAAAGAAATGCTCAAAACCATCTGAAAACTACAGATGGTAGCAGAAAACAGCCACCTGCCAGTCAGCTGCTCTGCCACTGAAGTGATGAAAATATCCTTTGTGTTCATAATTCCAGTTTCGACTTTAAATATAAGTGTCCGTTCTCCTGTGGTGTTGTGTATTCAGAACAAATGAGTTCCTAAGACCACCCTGAAATTTCATAAATGATTTTCAACACTTATTTCTAAAAATCAATAAGCAGAGTTTTAAAAAAAACAACACATGAGCATCAGTGTAAGAAGCATACTCATTCTTAAAAGAACTTCTTTGTATCCCACCTTTCTCTACCCATAAGCAATAACAACTAAAAGAAAACCAAGAGAATGTTATCCTCCACATGCCACCAGCTTTATTATCTTTGTGGAACTTAAGTCTGCTAAGGATATATAAGAAATCATTTTCTCTCTGAATTTTTAGGGAATATCCACCTATCACTTCAGATCAACAAAGACAACTCTACAAGAGAAGTTTTGACACTGGCCTGCAGGAATACAAGAGCCTACAGGCAGAACTTGATGAGGTCAATAAAGAACTCTCTCGTCTGGATAAAGAACTGGATGACTATAGAGAAGAAAGTGAAGAGTACATGGTAAATTCAAACCTGATAACTAGATATTACATAGAATTTTATTCTAGTCTGTGGAGCTACATTATCCTTTATACTAGTATCGATAGAGATTTTGCTAGTAATTACCAAACTGTAATTTCATTGAATAGTCATTGAAATCAAGTCTTCAAGTCTTTTTGAAATGGAAGAGTGTACTAATGTAGTTAAGATTTATAAAAAAATAATCTGTACATATATCCCTTCCTGTTTAAAAGAAAATAGCTACCTTACTTTTTCTATTTATAAACAGAAAAGAGTTTCCTGTTTCTGTAAAAAAACAGTTCACTCTTTCTGTAAAAAAAAAATTCAAATAATACAGAATGGTATATAGAAAAATAGATTGCCTTACATTTTTTCAACCAAAATATTTGTTAAAATGTCCCCTCCGTGCAGAAGTGTACCTAGAAGTAATCTTTGATAAAGAATCATAAGTTTTACTTGTATCCTTCCTGCTTTTTTTTTTTTTTACTCAACAGTAGTTTGTGGCTCGTCTTTATGTTTCCACTTGGTCACCTGTCTGGGGTAGTGTTTGTCCATGTAAAGTTACCCTACTTCTTAAGCCTCCTCTCTGTGTTACCCTCTTTGGAAGGAAGTCACTCTGCATAGATAACACTTAAGAAATCAGGGAATTATGCTCCATCTCTTTAAAGGCATTATACCTACACAAGTTATTTGGAATTTGCACAGGAAATTTGTCACTTCCATTTATTTAATCATTTATATCAGTGTAGACACGGGGATATCTCTTCTAAACTTTAGCTTACAATCCAGAATTGCTTAGTTTTGTTGCTCGAGTTGCTTTAGCAAGGACCACTGGGAACTCTTTCAGTTGCCTCTGGTGTTTCTTTGACCTACTCCCATCGTTATGAAGGTTTCTCTTTTTAAATATTTTCTGACATTGCTTATATTCTGCTGTTTTATTCAACAGCAGTTTATGATTATCAGCAGCAGTTTATGGAACACAATGGAAATCTGAAAAGCATTAATGTGTGTAATTTTTTAAAATGAGTCTTTACCAATAATAAAGATGTACTTGCTGAGAAAATAGTTTTATGTGTTAAAAAATAACTTTGTTATTTTCAATTTCGTGATTGTACCATAATGTACTTAATAGTCATTCTCTATGAATAGACTTTTAAGTATGTCTCCCTCCCCATTCCCCCCACCTGCCCCTGCTAGTGAACCTACACTGGTGAGCCTCTTCAGCCTTGTCCATTTACCTGCTTATCTGCTGGGACGAATTCCAGTATGTGGAATTGCTGAGTGAGAGGTTATGTATGTGTAAACTTTTGTTGCAAAACTACCCTCCAGAAAGATTATATCAACTGTATTCCCCGCTAGTAGTGCTCTAGAGGGCTTCTGTGACCCACATCTCACTGACATTTTATGCCTGAAAAATGACTGCCTTGTGTCTTAGATACCAGTATTTAAACTTTTCTTTTTAAATCACATCATGTACTTATTGGAACTTCATAGTCCTTTTATGAAATACCTTTTGCCATTTTTAATTGCGGTGATCTGCTTTCTGGTTTTGAAGTATTTGCTTCTTATGTAGTTTATTGCTTTCTTTTATGTCTTCTCTATGGTACTGTAAACCTTTCTCAATCCACTTAATGCTTATTCACTGTTATGTGTGCTTGATGTAGAAGTGCTGGGGTTAGAAAGGTAAATCATGTTTCTACCCTCAAAGAGCTCATGTTAAAAAAAGAGAAACTGACACCTAACAAGTTAAACAGTGGTACTAATGTCATATTTACAGTATGTATAGACAGTACTGTAACTAAGTGCTCTGAGAAGGAATAAAGTCTGCTGAAAGCCTGGAGAGTTGAGGGGAGGCTTCACTGAGAGGTAACTGTGGCAGATTCTCCAGACAGCAGGGGAGGTACATGAGAACCTCATGAGTACAGCTATAAGGGGAACACAATGGAAATCTGAAAGCATTAATGTGCTTAATTTTTTTTTTTAAGGAATTACAAGTGGGTCACTGGAATGATAGGAGACTAGATCAGTAGAGAATTTAACAGGGTGCTTATATCAATTTTATTATGGTAATGGGATCAGAGCTGTGCTTTGTGGGGTCCACGTGGTACATGGACTGGCATGGGGAGAGATGAGTGTCACAGAACAGGGAGTTACCTGCTGGTGTGAATGCAACGTGAGAAGCATCTTAATGTCATAAATTTCCCGTAACTGGATTCCTTCAGGCCCTCCCACTGACCATAAGGGTTTTAAGAACTTTTAAGACTTCTTTATTTTAACTCCTTATATTCTTGTCATAAGCTGATAGTTTTTGCTCCAAAGTATAACATCAGGAGTGTTACTTTTGAAAGAGAAAATGCCCCACTAAACACATTTCCTTTGTTTCTTATTAATAGGCTGCTGCCGACGAGTACAATAGGCTGAAACAAGTTAAGGCAGTAAGTATCCTAGATTGTAAGATTCTTTTAGGAAGACCTTTTCTAGTATGTGTCTTTCATTTAACCTTTAGAATGACTCTGGATACCTTTAGAGAACTTTAGATACTCTGATACCTTGTCACACATACAACGATTGTAGATTAAAGGCCCTATAATTGCAAGATGAAAACTTATAGTTTGAGTAAGAAGTTGGAACTTAAAAAAATAAAACAAGTAAAAAAGGAAGTTGGAACTTGAATTTCAGTTTGCAGCTACAAGCAACACTGATTGAAAAAAATTTTTTTTTTAGGTTGAAGTGTATATACATAAAAGTACACAGATCATAAGTATACAGCTTGGCAAACCTTCACAAAGCAGCCACACACCTTTGTGCTGGCACCCCCTTGAAATACATTTCCTGGTACCCTCTGGATACTCATCCAATTTACACTTACCTCAGAGGGAACCACCATCCTAATTTATAACATCATGGATTAGTATTGCCTATTTTGAACTTTGCATAAATGGAATCATAGAGTGTGTAACTTGTGTGTGATTTTTAAAAGTATCTATGCACATGGGCACACATTTGCTAGGTATATACATAGGCATGAAATTGGAGGGTCATTGAGCAATGGGGATCCAGCCTTATCAGCAGTGTCCCTGGTTTGTGCCAGTTTATAGATTCCTGTTGCTCCATATTCTTATCAACACTTGGCATCATCAGTCTTTTTTTTTTTTTTTTTAATCACACTACACGGCCTGTGGGATCTTAGTTCCCCAACCAGGGATTGAACCTGGGTCCTCAGCAGTAAAAGCGCAGAGTCCTAAGCTCTAGATGACTAGGGAATTCCTAGAAATTCATGAATTTAAATTCAAGGCTTCAGGGACTTCCCTGGTGGTCCAGTGGCCAAGTTTCTGAGCTAACAATGCAGGGGGCCCAAGTTCAATCCCTGGTCAGGGAACTAGATCCCACATGCCACAACTAAGGGTTCACTTGCCTCAACTAAAACTTACACATGCCACAACTAAGACCTGATGTAGCTAGATAATGTTTCTTTAATTCAAGAGTTTAAAGGTATATATAGTAACATTTCCTGTCTCATTCCCCATTTATCCAGTTTCCTTATTCTAAATCAATCCATATAACCAGTTTCTTGCTTTACTGATTTTTTTTTTCAAGATCATGTGTTAGCCAAAAAGGCCAATACATTTTCTTGATGACTTTCCAAATCATTAGAAATGAGTGTATCCTTTGTAAAACTCGTGTTAGAAGATATGATTGAGCAGAGAGAATCAGCTGCTCATATGGTTAGAGATGCTGCCAGGTGCCTTGTTCATTTAACACTCCTTGCAATTCTGTATGACTAATATTCCCTTTTTGTTGTTGTTGTTCACCCCTGCCTTCCCAGCAGCTAATACATAACTCATTTTTATTTTATTAAACTTACTCAATTCTTTTCCCCTCTTTTTTTTAGTCAGCAGATTACAAAAGTAAGAGGAATTACTGTAAACAGTTGAAGAGCAAATTGTCACACATTAAGAAGATGGTCGGAGATTATGATCGACGGAAAACATAGACGGCAGACTCCACATTGTTGGAGAGGTTAAGAAGTATCTGACGGACATCTCTGCAGTGTTGTCAGGAATCAAAATGACTTTGGGCTCTAACCCGGGAGGCCAAATCTCTGTGATCATTACAGAGTTTTGGTAGCTTTAATATCATCAGTATTGAAGCAGTTTATAAATAGCTTTTGATAATCAACTGGGCTGAACACTCCAACTAAGGATTTTATGCTTCAAACATTGGTTCTTGTGTTAAGAACTGAACTTTTCAGGAAGGTCTGGAGTGGACTGTGCTGTGAACTTTCACATCCTGGGCAATCAGGTCTTAATACCTAAGTGTGTGCTCATTGGGTCTTGTAGGGGGTAGTTTAATCCTCCCTGAATTCTCCCTTCAGATAACTGTTACTTATAAATAAATAATCATTTATTTTCAGATAAGGAAATGGGCCCTTGCAATAAAGTCTGAAGTGAAACTGCTTGTTGGCTAGCTTGCAGTTTTGGTTAAGTCTATTTTATGACTCCTTTGATAAAGTCCCAGACCTTTTCCTATTTTAGCTACTATGAATACTGAATTCTACCAACCTCCCTATTGATTTTTTTTTTCCTGTGTATAAATGCTTAAGAACTTTTTATTTCATGTTATCCTGGTAATAAAGATCATGTAGATGTAACAGATGTATGAAATTTGAAGATTGTAAATATATGTTTACTTTTGAAAAATCCAAGTTTAAACCTACTGGTTAGAATTTTGTTGTGTATTTTTAAATGCTTTTTATCTTTTATGGTTTACATACTTTTTTAAAGCCAACTAGGTGTTTCCTTTTTATCAAAGTATCCAATTACATTTATAATTCAATTCTGACTTGAACTGTATCTTTTGGGAATGTTCAAGTTTTGTACATATTTTATAATTATTAAACCTGGTGTTTTCTTTCCATAATATACCTTTTTGACATCATTAGTGCTATTAATATTAAGCTATGGGAAACTATACTCGGAAGTTGTATCTGTTGTTGTTTTAAATTATTTTGGGTGCTGTGCTGGTTGGTAGTATCCTAAATCCTTTGGCAGAGAGAAGGCTGACTTGTCTGGAAATGGAATCCAATATCATAAAGCACCAAATTATTTCAAATGGTGCCCTTTAATTCTCAGCATTTTCTCAGAATTTTCAAATTCTGAGAAAATCTCAAATTCTCAGAATTTTCCTGGTAAAGTAAAATTAGCTGATAATACTGGATATATAGCTAACCAAATTGACTGTGATTATCCCCTCGGTTTAGAACTCTCATTTAAATATATTGTTTTTAATATATTAGTCTGAATCATTTTTCAAAGATAAACTTTTAAATAAGGTTTCCATTGTAACACTGACTCAGTTCTTCAAGTTGAAAAAATTCTTAATTTTCTGTGTATTGCACATGCTTACTACAGAAGGTAATAATTTGTTTTTCATGCCTTTTGGAGTCATGCCAAATAGTAAGGACTCTCTTGAGCAATGCAATAGATTTTTTTTTGTGTGTTAAAATTTAAACTCTTTATTCTAGGAAGTCAGCATATTTAGTTTATGAAGGAATGTTTAGCCATTGTTGTGGTGAAACAGAACTATTCAGGTGAATGCAGAAAAATCAAGTAGCATGAGTTTGCGTTATAAAATTGTGCCATAAAATAGGACTTTGAAAGTTTAAAAAATCATTTTTCAAATGTGGTACTTACACTACTGACCACTCCAGGAGTCAGGATCAGGATGGAGGGGAGTGTTGGCTTTCCCAACCAAGGGTAGAACCTGTGCCCCCTGCAGTGGAAGTGCAGAGTCCTAACCGTTGGTGGTGGTGATGGTTTAGTTGTTAAGTCGTGTCCAAGTCTTTTCGTCTCTATGGACTGTAGCCCGCCAGGTTCCTCAGTCCATGGGATTTCCCAGGCAAGAATACGGAAGTGGGTTGCCATGCCCTCCAGGGCATCTTCCTGATCCAGGGATTGAACCCAGGTTTCCTGCATTGCAGGTGGATTCTTTACCAACTGAGCCTCCAGGGAAGCTCTCCTAACCACAGGACTGCCAGGGAATTACCCTGGGAGATTGGCATTAACCAATGGGATATAATTTTGAAAAACTACTCAGGCAGTTTTCTAGTCTGAAAGATGGAGGTTTAGATTAAGAGTTCAGAGATCTCTTCCATCTCTGATCTGTGGTTATGTTTGCATTCTGCTATAAACCACTGTTCCAAAGATTTTGTTGAAAAAACACATGGTTTATCTGATGAGAATTCACACTCTGATCAGTGATTCCCTTACATGTGTGATTCTGGATTACAAGTAGGTAAGATCAATGTTTTAATTTCTTTTTATTTTGAAAAATTTAAAGAAACCCAGAAAACTATGAACATTTAAACCCACCACCCAGAAATAACAAGTGTTAATATTTTGTTATGTGTGCTTTGTATTTTTTGAATAAAACTATAAGTATTTGTAGTAACAGTTGCATAGTATACACATATATGGAATCTAATTTAATCTTTATGATAGCCTTCTGACATAACCATTTCTCATTCTCATTTTACAGATAAGGAAACTAATGATTTGCTAGGTTAATTGGTCCATTATCTCATTAGCAAGTGACTAAACTAGGATTGGGATGACCTGTTGGAATATTACCTTCTATATTCCCATTCTAGGTTGACTTAATAAATCAATGGGTTGGATAAGGTTGGATTGTTCTGTCGTTATTAATCCTGTTATAAATTTGAGTGCATTTTATACTTGACCCTTGAACAACTTGGGTTTGAACTGCGTGGGTCTATTTATGTGTGGATTTTTTTTTCATTGAACACATACTATATGATCCAAGAATGCAGAGGGCCAACTGTAAGGTTATATGTGGATTTTTTACTGCTTGAAGGATCAGCACCCCCAGCTCCCTCATTGTTCAACAGTTATCTGTACTTTTAATTAGCATAAGGTGCTTCATGTAGAAGATCTGCAGTATCTGTGAATGTCTGAATGGGTATGCCTGTGTAAAGAAGAGTCAGGGCAGAAAACCGCTTTAACCATAACTCCAGGGATCTTAAGTTGAGGTTGAAGCAGACAATCTCCCTGCTTCAGAGTTGGGATAGAAGTGTCTCCCATCTGTTGTTCAGTCACTCATTTGTGTCTGACTCTGACCCCTTGGACTGCAGCGCACCAGGCTTCCCTGTTCTTCACTGTCTCCCAGAATTTGCTCAAACTTGTGCATTGAGTCAGGAATGCCATCCAACCATCTCATCCTCTGTCGTCCCCTTCTCTTGCCTTCAATCTTTGCCAGCATCAGGGTCTTTTCCAAAGAGTTGGCTCTTTGTATCAAGTGGCCAAAGTATTGGAGCTTCATCTTCAGCATCAGTCCTTCCAATGAATATTCAAGCTTGATTTCCATGAGGATTGACTGATTTGATCTCCTTGGTGTCCAAGGGAATTTCAAGAGTCTTTTCCAGAACCACAATACAAAAGTTCTTTGGCTCTCAGCCTTCTTTATGGTCTAACTCTCACATGCATACGTGACTACTGGAAAAACCATAGCTTTGACTATACAGACTTGTTTCAGAGAAGTGATGTCTCTGCTTTTTAATATGTTGTCTCCGTTTGTTGTAGCTTTTCTTCCAAGGGGTAAGCGTCTTAATTTTGTGGCTGCAGTTATTGTCCACAGTAATTTTGGAGCCCAAGGAAAAAAAAAAAATCTGTCACTGTTACCACTGTTTCTCCATCTATTTGCCATGAAGTGATGGAACCGGATTCCATGATTTTAGTTTTTTGAATTGAGTTTTAAGCCAGCCTTTTCACTCTCCTCTTTCACCTTCATCAGCAGCTCTTTAGTTTCTTTTTGCTTTCTGCCATTAGAGTGGTATCATCTGCATATCTGAGGTGGTTGATATTTCTCTGGGCAATCTTAATTCCAGTTTGTGTTTCATTCAGCCTAGCATTTCACATGATGTACTCTGCATAGAAGTTAAATAAGCAGGGTGACAATATACAGCCTTGACGTACTCCTTTCCCAATTTTGAACTGGTCCATTGTTCCACGTCCAGTTCTAACTATTGCTTCTTGGCCTGCACACAGGTTTCCTAGGAGACAGGGTAAGTGATCTGGTATTCCCATCTTTTTAAGAATTTTCCACAATTTCTTGTGATCCACACAGTCTAAGGCTTTAGTGTAGTCAGTGAAGCAGAAGTAGATGTTTTTCTGAAATTCTCTTGCTTTTTCTGTGATCCAGCAGATGTTGGCAATTTGATCTCTGGGTTCTCTGCCTTTTCTAAATCCAGCTGTACATCTGGATATTTTCAAAGGCTCAGGTGGAGGAATCTAAGCTGAATATGCTGGCAGCTCATGGTTTTAATAAATTAGATGAAGGACATATACGACATCTTTTTCTACTGTGAATAGTTTTCATAAACAAAAATACCTAAGTAACTTGGGTAGTTTTTAGAAAATGCGTGAAAATAACCCCACTTTGGAGTTAGAAAAAGAACATGGACACACAACTAGGATGATTTTTGTGACTGCAAAACATGGAAGGGTGTCTCCCTCAAATTCCAGTTGCTGCCACAGGACCGCTTGCTGAAGCTGCATATATTGTCCTATTATTGTTGCTTTGCTGTTGTTCAGTCACTAAATTGTGTCCAACTCTTTGCAACCCCATGTAGCACGCCAGGCTTCCCTGTCCACTACCTCCCGGAGTTTGCTCAAACTCATGTCCATTGAGTTGCCAGGTGACTTTGGACAAATTACTTAGCCTTCCTATACCTAGTTTGCTTGTATTTACAAAAGATACTTGTATCTAAATCATGGTTGTTATGAAGGTAGTTAATGTGTGACTTAAAACATTCCTTGTCAGAAAGTAAATAATAAATATGGCCAGTTACACGTATTTTCCAAAGCCAAATGGTGAAACTTTAAACAAGTTTTTAAAAGTAAACTCGGTTTTAAAAGTACATGTATCATCTCCATCCCGCATACTTGGTGTGTGCTGAGTAGAGCTCTACAGTAAATT